ACTAGAACTTCCATTATCGACACAAGGGTTCCCCACAAGCAAATGACCACCAATTACAATATGACACCAGTAACAGCGGTGCAACACGGCTTTGTCTTTTTATTTCTACTGACTAATACTTGACCGACTGTTACTGTCAGGAGTGTTACTTCTTTCCGCTTTTTCAATACTATTAGCGACGAACTCGAGGTCGTCAGATATCATAGTCTCAGGTAACTGAAAAACAACCTGCTGGGGGTTTTTAGAACGCATCCTTTTTTCGCTATAAGAGGGCAACTCATTTGGTCTCCTAAAAACTTCCATATAATTACAGATCCCTTTTAAATTATGTTATCCAGGAAGCAAACGCATTTAAGATCAAAATGAAGTCTGAAAGTCTAACAAAAATTTTTGAAGCATAAATTACATAATACTCACCTCCTCAAACTTTTTTTACTTGCCGGATAAGCGTAACCAGATGTTGACGCAATATCGCAATTATTAAATTCATGCTTGGCTTGTTTCTTTTGCTCTTCGCACTCCTGAAAAAAACTATTCTTGTGTAAAAAGCAAAATACCTGTAAGCAAAACTATCATTCTTTAGCCTTTGATATTTGAGCAACTGACGTTTTTACCCACCAGATGGCATTACTGAGAATTTTATTCTAACTAATGAAATTTGGCTTCTCACGTCCTTTCCTTCAAAATCCTTAGTTCATCAATTACAGCTCTCGATAACTTAAAAATACTCCTCCTCACGAATGCAAAAAAAAAAAACCCGTCATCGAACGAGAAATAAGAATAGCACTTTTAATGAGCCTCTGGTTCATGAATACATTGTAATCCGACAACACAAGTTTTACAGAGCAGATGGAAATCTCAAAAACCTGCTCTGCCGTCGCCAGGATACAGTAACGAGAACGATCAAATAATTTCAGCAGAAAAGTTGATGATTGTCAAAGAGAACAGAAAGAATGAAGAAAGAATGTTCCCCAGATCATCGCTGCCGAGCAGCTAATAGAAAGTGAAATAGTCGAATGTTGCTTGAATCAGCTACGCATAAATTCTCCAAAAACTCAGAACAAGTGTTTCTCACTTCAAAAGGTGCAGCCTTCACACAGACAGAACACGCCGTTACTAGCATTCTAACAAAAAATGAATGCATGATTATTGTAAAAGACGAAGTACTGACTTGGCGTTAGTAAGGCATCCTTACACTGCCGTAATTCCTTCGCGTATGGTAGAAAAATAATGCTCATTAGTACTTTGGAGAACTTCGCATTAATCATCTTTTTATTATTTGGGTCATCAAAGGCGACGAGATCATGAGCTAATGCAAAAGAGTACTGAAATTCGAAAAAAGATGATGTAGCTTTAATGAACTAAACCAGCGTGCTGCTGGTACATGATAAAATGTCGGTGAAAACTAAAAGATATTACGTCAGAACTTGGGTACCACCTCCCCTACTTATCATTCTCACCAAATCCTCCTCTAAGAAATATGAAATTCTTTAATCATTTAGACCATTATACCGTTAGTAAACAACATTGTAAAAGCACCAAAACCAAAAACGTCTTTGTTGGTTGTTCAGAACTACAGCATGCCAGGTTTTTAGAAACTGGGTTTTAAAGCGATATCTGATCGCAAAAGATTAGTGCTCACTTTAATTAAAGCATTTACACCAAAAAACCATGAGTCTTTAAATTTTAACACGAGTACAGAAGCTGCTTATGCTACAAGTCAATAAATAAAAAACCATTAATGATAAAATGATACCATGTCTTCTGTACCATAATAGATGCCTTCATGTTACAATAAGCAGTAAATAACAACCCATACTTGTATTAATGAATCCAATAACTCTGCTAAACGTTCTTCTAATTCAGAATCTGCAGCTTTTTGCTCTCTTTCAAATTCGGCAGCAATTCTTTCTTTTTCCAGCTTAAACAAACAAAAAAATTAAAAGAAATGCAAAATAAACAATCGAAATTTAATTTTTTCGAAGTTCAATAATAAGGCAAACCAAGCTCGAACCTTATCTGCCGCCTCATAAAAAGAAACATGTTCTTTATACTTCATACTTAAACCTGCTTTCATAATTGCCCACTGCTTATGCTTTCCAGCATGCAGATCTTCCAGTTCAGCTTTTTTTTCATTAATTTTCTCAGTATAATACCTGAAATATTACTAATTAGTTCAAAATAAATAAAAAGAACAAGTAAAAGACATTAATTGCAAGGATTTAATGAAAAATTATTAAAATGACGAAGTCACTTAGGTCTGCGAACCCAATCCAAATTAATGAGCCCCATGCTTTTCAACAGTTAACAATATGACCAATGAATTTTCCTAACCTTGCTATGTAGGTATCGTAAGGAGACGAGATCCTGTTCATTGCCCAACTTCAAGCACACCTGAAAATAGTATTTCATGATTCATTTACTCGTGCTTTTATATTAACGAAAGCCTTGTCATCTTCAAAAAGTTGAAAAGTGAGATTAAAATATACACGAAAATTTTCACACAGATTATTTCACTAGATGGTTTCACACTTCCACCAAATGGGCACAGCTTTTCTTAGCTCCAAATCACACTTAACCAACGAGTTGCCATATACTCCTCTTCCAAAGCAACATACCAGCATCAGCCCTTACATTCTCTTTCTTTTTTGCTCCTCAAACTCCTCACTAAAAGAATTTCCAAGGCTATAATGTCAACATAATTTTACCTTTTTACCACACTAAATTTTTTAGGGACCAATAAGTAACCCCACACCTGATAAACATATTTTGAAATGTATGTCACCTAACTTGGTGTCACCAACTGTCCATTAAAAAGAACGTGACTATTTTTCAACACGTCTTACTTCTAAACTCGGAAACCCCACAAGTTCCAATCCTTCTAGTTTTCTAACAAGAGTATACCTTTTTATAAACTCCAAATTTCCACCCGAACACGTCACTTTAAATAACTGCCTGCATTACTCAACCCACCAGCAAACTTTCTCATTTTTCGTAACTAATATCATACAAGCAATTTATACACTCCTAAGCCACTTTTGCCCTCAATCTGTCAACTGAACTTGAAACGCTATATTTTTCTGAACTCACATGATATGTACCAACAGTAGTACAATATGGTGAGTTTATACTCGTTTTAGAATTCCAGCAAAGAAACTTCAGCTCTATCTTGGATCATCTTGAAAACGTCTTTCCTGGCATAAACCTTATATAAACGTCCCTACAGCAAATCTAATAGAGGAAACCAACTGATGAACAACACACCACTTTACACTAGCTTCCATACAGAAGAACGTGAAAATGTAACCCTAAAATTTACTGCATTGGCTGTTCTCACATCCACTAAACTCACCAATTATTAAAGCATAGTAAAATGTAAAAGTATAAGTAAAGCTGCCAGACATCTGCTTTTCTAACAACTAAATATGCAACTAAGTCATGAAAAACTATATGGTAAAATAATACACGTTTCCATAGAAATGCATGAAAATTAAGCGTCGCACAAAACGGCAGTGCCTGCAAGTACATCATATACTGAAGAAAACAAAAGACAGTTCCGGACTTCACCAACAAGTGACCGAGTAGAGAGTCGAAGACGATCGATCTCCTGTAACGCATTTCAATTCCCGACAATTAAACTAAAAACGCCACTTTCAATAATATTTTAGAAGAACCGGCCCATAAACTTCAAAAGACGAACGCTACTGGTAAAAAACCTCTATTCACAAACAAATCAATGCCAAAAGCAAATCGCCATCCGTTCTTATAAAATTCTACTACTCTGTTTTTCAAAACTGACATACAAAAATACGATATTCAAAAAACCCATTAAAAGCAGAATAAAAACCGAACAGGAATGGAAACAATGGAATGGTTCAAAAAATTGGTCAGAAGATTAACGCTCTGACATCAAACAATACTTATACACTTACTGACTGGAAGGCTTATCAGTGATGGAAAAAACTTTATCAAAGCCCTGCGAAAACGACAGTATCGAAAGATGCTCACCATCAAAACTGCTCATGTTGGAGATGACAGTTAGAAATATGATACTATATGGCGTCGTTCCATTTGTGATGGCGATTCGCCAATTCTTTTTTTTTTTT